GGTTTCCACTATCCCCTCGGGATATTAAGATTTTCTTGTTATTGTGGACTAGTTACTTTCTCTGTGTGACACTGTCAGTTTCTGTTTTGCAAATGCCATATAATAGGTATGTAGTAAAAAGTATAAGAACTGGTGAGTAGAAGTACTACATTCACAAAGGGAATTTCTTTGGAGATGGAGGGAAGGCAGGGACTTCCTCCCACTTAGGAAAGGAATTCAGATTACCAAGAATTGTGCTAGCAAAACCCTTATTTTACATAGAAGAAAGCTCAGGCTCAGAGGTAGTGACTTTGCAGAGTCACAGAACTTATCAGTCACCAAGCAAACACTCTGGAGAGCGCCTACCACCATTCCTGAGTGCTGCGCCGGGCCAGGCATTATAAATTATCCTCTAATTTAGCCCCAAACTACTCAGCCATGTATAGTGCAATATAATCTCCACTTTTCTAATGCTCAGAGAGGGCAAGAGATGTGCCCAAGATCACACAGCTGTGGAGTGGCAGTGGTGGGTGTCGGTCACATTGTCCCTTGCTTCCTAACACTCCCTGAGGTCCCCGCACCAGTCCTGGATGGGATAAGGCAGCTGCAGAGAAGCTGGATGGACACGTTCCCTCCAGGCATCAGGAAGGAGGCAAGGCTGGCACAGCGCTGTGGATAATAGACTACAGGGCCTCAGAAGGCAAAGGAGTGGGCACTATTGAAATGCTTAATGAAAAGAAAGTGCCTGCCTGGCAGTGAGCACGCAGCAGCTGACGGGAGCCACCGCTGCTTGGCCTGGTGGGCCTGGGCTCCACCCGGCACACAGCAGAGCCTGTGGCGCAGGGAGAATGGGACCGGAAGCCACCGCCCCCACCCACAAAGCCACCATTCAGAGGCTGCTCAAGTGGCCGCTCAGGGCAGAGTGACCCTGACTCGGGCTACACTCTGGCTCCTCCGCTCTTTCTCTCCAGGGTCAGCGGGAGCCGGTGACCTGCAGCCCAGCCATGCCAGACCTGCCAGCCTCCCTGATGACCTGGGCCGCTGCTGGGCCCTCACTCTTGCAGAGACACGGACACACACTTGGGCCTGGTGTACCCAGAGACCCAGGAGGCCGCCCCAGGCTCGCTGTCCGCCAGGGTCTTGCAGCTCCACCACTGCACCCTCTGCCCCAGCCCACTTGAGCCACATCACTGCCACCTGCGAATGCGTGAACTTGTACACTTGAAGAGAGGGAGGGCAGGCGGGTTCAGGAAAAAACAAACAGGACACACTGTTAAATTTACCTCTCAGAGAAATACCAAATAACTGTCTCGTGTAAGTATGTCCCATGTGGTATCTGGAACACATTTATTACACCAAACCATGTTTGCTGTTCATATGCAGTTAGGTGGAACTAGTGTCCTGTGGATTACGTGGCAACCCCACGTGGCCAAGGGTGGGCTAGAGAAGGAGGTGCCCAGAAGAACAAGTCCTCTGAGAAACAAAACCCAAAAAGGAGCTGAAAGGATTAAGGGAGGAACGCTCTCTACTCTCACACCAGAAATTCCATTCTCCCTGAGATTCCAAGTCCATTCCATCTGAGTTTTCCAGTATTGTGCACATAGATATATCTATCCCACTTACAGATGAGCAAACACAAGGTCTGAGAATTGAGGGACCTGTAGCGTGGGCCATGGCTGTTTATGTCTGAGGATAACCTGGTGCCATTTCTTCTATGCCATACTTTTCACCTGCTGGTAACGAATTTTACAGGATGCTTTTATAGCTTTTACAGGATACACATGAAGAAGGTCCCACCTGTCTTCTCCACTTCTCTAACACATTCATAAGGAAGCAAGCTCATAAGACGTGTGTTCACAAAATACAACTATCGATTTACAAAAAAGGCCCTGACCTCTTCTCTCCTTTTGGCGCCTTCCCCGAACCAAACATACCACCATGGAGGACGTGGCTGGGGTTCCAGTTCCTGAAGAAGAGGCAGAAAAAGGATCAAAGAAGGGAAGAGCTGTGAGCCACCCAGGAGAAGAGTGGCACACCCCTCTCAGGTAAGGAAGATCACAGATGTTGGACCCCACAGCATCTTAACAGGGACCCAAGAGGGAGGCACCCTCTATCACTATCCCAACATCTCACGGTCCTTGCGTCTTGTCCAGAAAACATATGCTGGGAAAAAAACTAAAAGAGCCATTTGTCAAGTGGACAGTGGGAAATACTTTTCTCCCGCCCCCCTTCAAGCCTTGAGCATTCACAGCACACAATAGAGAGGAAACAGCCATAAAAATGACTTGACGTACGCCTGTTTGAAGTACAGTGACCGTGGGACAAGTGACTATAAAAAATGACACAGTGGGGGTGATTCCAAATCTATTCCAGCTTAGTTCATTTCCAGACCAAACAGCGCTTGCCTAACCAGTCACGTTGGGCTTTAGTTTAGTGCCGCTCGGCGTTGTTTTTAGTTGTCCCTTCTTGCTAGCAGATTGCATTATCCTCAGCACACGGTGCCACTCTGGCAGAGCCCTGGCTTGTCTGAGCACAGTGAGTCTCAGGAGGTGGTGAGCCAGTGAGGTGGCCAGACGTGGGTCCCCATAAACTGTGGCAGGACGAGGGGCCCAGCTCTACCCCGCTCACACTGTCCTCTTCTATTCCCCCGCTCTGTCTTCTCTCACCCCCGTCTGCGACCCCTAAGGCAGCAGACAATTAACATGCATCTTCTGGTCATAAGAAACCCCAATTTTCCTGGGAAAAAGGCGAACCAGGCTTCACTCCTTGTCTGCCGCAGCTGGTACCAAATCATCCTCAGCCTCAGCAACTCCTAACACTGCAAACTTTAAAAGCCAGTTCCCCCGAGCCAGCGGGATGCAGAGCCATCATTTGCAGCCTGAGTTATTAGAGGTCTCTGGGGAGCACTCAGCCGGGGTGCAGCGAGGGAGTGTGTCCAAGAATGTCAGTGTCTGTTGATGCTGAGCGTCCAGGCCCCGTCACTGGCCTTCTCGGCCTCTGTCAGCAGCAGGGCGCCCGTGGTTCGCACTGTACACAGCAGTAATTACAAATTCTGAAGGTGAGAAAAACTCATCTCATTTTTTAATCTAAAATCTTTCAGATTTTCTTTTGAGAAGGCTAGACAATTAGATTGATTTATATTGTATTGTTTATAAAACCTAGACCTGCAGAAAAGATAAATTTTGGCCAATACTGTCTAAATGAAGTGATGTGGTTTCCAGGTTTCCACTTAGATGACGCGAGAAGATTCCGAGCCAGAGCTCACAGGCATCCAGCTCTGGTGTGTTTACTAATGAGCCCCGGGAACCATCCAGGGGTGTGGGTCTTCCAGAGTCCCAGAGCTACGTGCAGACACACCGCTCCCGGTGTGGGGAGGACAGGAGGGTTGAAGAGCTGTAACCACCAATGCCAGAGCTGGGGGTGGAGGTCTTAGAGCACATCTGCTCCCCTTTGCAGAGTGGGCCAAGGCCCGAAGGGTGGTGGGTGCAGAGTTGGGACTAGCACCCAGGACTTCTTGTTTAACACTCCTTCTGCTCCTCTCTTGGCTGATCAAGGCCCCCAGTACAAGCACACCTGTGAAAGTCAGAGACTGGGACAGGAGTTGGCCGTAGTAAAGATGGCAGGTTTCGCCCAGTCCTGTCCTTCCCATCACAAGTGACCCTGGGGCAACTTGGGAGAGGACTATGTCACAGAGAACAGCCCACAAGACTGGAGTTATCAGCACATTTGGAGGTCTTGCAGGAATTTCCTGTTGTGTGATCGGGGACTTTCAAAGAGCAGAGGCAGTCTCTGCCCCCTCCCTCCGAGGGGAAGCTCACATCTGAGTCACTAGCTGTCTGTGCCCCATGGCTCTCAGTGATAATGGGTCATGGTCCCCGGGGGACACTGGAATTCCAGCTCCTTTCAGCCGCTTGGGCCACTCAGCTGTCACTGCACTGGCTGGAGAAAGAGTCAGCAACATGGAACACATGGACCTACAGCCTGGGACTTGTTAACAACCACCTGCTTCTGCTGTTTCTCCCCCTAACCCTTCTTAAAACTAAGAATACGACACATTACACACAAAAAACAATGTGTGCATTACTACCTCGGTGGAAAAATAAAGCACAGTCCCACTCACAGCCCTAGGCTCCCCACTGGCTTTAGGATCATCTCCTTGGTTTTCCCTTCCAGTTTAGCCCTTGTGGATGCATCATGAAAGGTCACTATTTCATTTTTGCCTGGCATCACATGTGGTGATCATTTGCTCATTTTTATTGTAGGGTTTTCGATTGGGTCCACGCATTTTTTTTTTTTTTTTGGTCTTTCTCCGGTACCGGGAACCGAACTCACGACCTTGGGCTTGCCAGGCAGGCGCTTTTGCCGCTGAGCTAAATCCCCAGCCCCCACGCATTTTTTTTAATCCATCCATTCTACTGTCCAAAACATATGAGTTGCTTTCAGTTTGGGGCTACAGCAAATGATGCTACAGAAAATATTCCTGAACATGTCTCTCAGTTCCTAGGTACTGGCGTTCCTGTCATCAACACTAACAATGGGGGCTGCGTCATGCACAAAGTGCCACTTCACCTGGACCACTCATGCCAATCCAAGTTCCAAGGCGGGGCTCTTCCCCCCCTCACAGTCCCTCTCATCAGTTTCTGCTTATGCACAATGGGGGTCTTGGTGATTCCAGGGCCAAGGAAGCCCAGCTGGTTGCTAGAATGGAGGATAAATCCCAATGCCACCTCTGTCAGACAAAGCCCAAGCAGTAACTTTTTAAAAATTCTGAGCTTAATCAGAACCAACAACCAAAACAACTGTGTTTTCAGAAGAAAAATGTCACAAACTCCCCTAAACTAATGCGGTAAAATCTCTGGCACGGGAGCATGCTATCAACTGTGAACAGTAAGTACAAACACGGTCCAGAGATACAAAGCACAGAAAGACCACACTCTGGTCCACTCCAATCTGCAGTGGATAGCAGAGGAAAGGATGGGGTAGGAGGGGTCCCGGAGGCTGCCCCCATAGCCACCACCTACCTGTACACAGGCTGCATCTCTCTGGCTACGCCAATGACAGCACCTGGCAGGAAATTGTCAAACTCCTCGAACAACTCCCGGATGTTGGTCTTATACTTTAGGTCGAGGTCCAGCTGAATGATCCGCAAGATCTCTGGAGGGTGGAAAGAAAAGACAGTAAGGTCAAGCAAGGGTGGCAGCACATGCCTAAAATCCCAGCTGCTTGGGGGATTGAGGCAAGAGGATTGTGAGTTCAAGGACAGCCTGGGCAACATGGTGAGACCTTGCTTCAAATAAGCAAACAAAGACGACAAGATACAGGCACACATGCTGGGAGGCTCAACCACTGACGGAAGATAAAGTAGAGAGTACAGAGAAGGGCTTACTGTTGCTGAGGGATAGAAAGTTACTGCTGGAAACAAAGGCCCTGGCCTTTCACCAACCAGCACGCCCACTGCCCCTAGACTTCTTTACAACTGCCTGCCACATCTTTCCAATTGCAGATATCCCTTAATTAACTTTATTTAGAACTAGGTGCCTGAGCTCCAGCCTAGACTTGCTGTCTAAGTGGAAGTATTAACAATGCACCATTTCACCCTTGAAAATCTGATTTGGATGACACGTGTGGACACCCTGCGCAAGACTCGAAACACCTAGGTAGTTTTTCTTTGGGGGTAAATACCCCACATAAAAGAAAGATGAAAGACATCATCTTCTTAGGCCCTTGCTAGGATGTCTGCAAACCCAGCTAGGTGTCAAATTAAGATGTAGACCTGGAGGAAATCAGCAGAAAGGCCTCGGATACCAACAAGTTTTCAGTGTACTGACAATAAGACAAAAGGAGCCCTAGTTACCAGTCTCCTCCTACATAGCACGTGAGAGCGATTTGCTCCAGATGGTTTGGGGCAGAGGAGAGGAGGAAGCGGGCAGAGTTTGGCCAGGCATGGGAGAGAGGCATGAGCTAAGTTCATCCCCTTGTCCCTCACCTGGCTTGCCTGACCAAGCGCCTGTAGTGTCAATGCCAGGAGGGCCAGACATCAGCAGACTGGGCCCTGGCTCCACCAGGGTCAGCTGGTGACTACAAACACAGGGAAGCGTGAGTGCTGATGCACACCCTGGAAGAATGCCGTGCAGGCCCCAGAGAGGGGGTGCCTGGGCACACTGCTGGGTACCTAGAAGGAAGCCTGGCCTTGGAACATACCTGAGCTCAAGTTCCAGTTTGGGTGCCGATTAATGCAGTGACAGGGAAGCTTATTTTACTTTTCTGAATGTTAGGTGCCTCATTTATGAAAACAGGGAGACCACGGCAGGCCTGGTGAGGTCGGGATGCTGCCAGGATGAGACTGTGTGTGGGAAACATCTCCCAGGCTGCAGGAATCCAGAGTCTGGACAGCAGGGACCTCACTAAGGCTTGAAGCAAAGAACACTTCCTGGAGGAGGAAGACTCAGCCCAGGCGCTAAGCACAGGCAGGAACAGAGAGGGAAGGATCGCCGACACCCACTATGGAAGGGCCACTCTCCACTTCGGTCTCTGCTGCCCTTTTCTGCCTGCCCAGCAAGCAAGAGGACTGCAGATGTGTGAGCACAGGCCCCGGCAGAAGCCTTCTGACGACAGGCCCACATCTTGGCATCTTGGCCTGCACCCATCGTGCAGGGACTGGCTTACAGCAAACACTGTGGGATGTTTGTGGAGCTCCATAGCTATTCTCCAAATTGGTTTAGGAGGAAATCACAGCTTAGATTCAAGAAAAGCTGACTCACTTGTTACTTGTCCCATTTTCCTTTGTGATGCAGAAACAAAACTTTACTTAACATTCTTCATGACTCTTCTAGAAAAGAAAAAAGCTACAGCGATAAGAACCCAACTGGCCAGGCAGAGGAAAGAGGTGACGCCAGGCTGCTCTGGCCCTGGAGGGAAAGAGCTACGGGAAGGTAGGTCTGCTGGGCGAACGTGATCCTTCGGCCTGGGCCGTGCCACCCCCACATTTGAGGAGTAAAATGACTATTTCCTTCCTGGACCTAAAAACCAACAATAACAAGAGTAACAACCCAGAAGGCAGGAAGGCTGGTAACCCGGGAGCCTGGGTGTCTGGAAGCCTTTGCGGTGACTTTGCTGGCCTTTTGGAATCCTGCCCTACCGAGGGATACAGAGCAGAAACAGGCAGAGAGACCCCGATGGTGACCTTAGAAAGACAACGTGGCACAGGAGTGGTAACTGCAGCTGTGATGGGCTGTCAAGGGCTGACCACCGGGGTTCTGTGGATAAGAAGGGTACAGGACCAGGGCATTTGGCTAGGAGATGGGACTGCTTCAAGGACACATGGTGGCCCCAAGGACCACTTTCGATAACATCGACAATGGCCACATGAAAGCACCACTTTTTCTGGTCATTTTTAAGGGTCCCGCATTGCCCAGGCCGTAGTTTATTTTCATAACTGCCCAATATGTTAGACAGGGACAACCCATTTTTAGATGAAGAAACTGAGGCTTGGGGAGGTCTGAAACATTATCCCAAGATCACAGGACGAGTCAGCATTGGAGTGGGATTGGAACCTCGGTCGGCTTGACTTGAAAGCTGGGCCATGTCGTGCTCCTTCCTGCACGCCTGATTCCCCTCTGATCAGAGAAGCAGGGTGTGGCCCTGCTGCTACCACACAGGGCCCAAGAGCACACAGAAGGGCCAGAGACCCTCAGTGAGAAAAAGAACTCTAGGCAGAGCAAGAGGCTGGCCAATGCAGACTGTAAGGAAAGAAAATGAGGCACTGGTGGCAACTTCACTGTAACTCAAGAAATAATCGACGGTAAGAAAAGCTATTCATCCGTTTGGTGTGTCACGGCAGGGAAGCTCCTGTGCGTGCTCTGGGCTTTCAAGGCATCCACGTCCTATCTGCTCTGTAAGCAGCAGCCCAAAGCCCTCCTTTCCCAGCTGCCTGCACAGGCCTGATGGAAGCCGTGGCCTCCTGCACTGCGTCCAAGCGCCTGCCTGGGTCCTGATGCCTGGGGACCCTGGTCGCTGCTCTCCCTGCACAGAGAGATGAGACCCTGCAGACCACACTCCCAGGGCCAGGACTGCGCTGGGAGGCAGCGCTGGGACATCTAACGCACACAGAGTCTCTGGCCCTTCTGTGTGCTCTTGGGACGCTTCCTACGGACTCCCACAAACTTTTAATAAGCCCCTCCATAAGCCCGAGCTCTTTCCCTGCCACTTAGGGACTGGCTGGGAGTGGCCCTGGACACTGGAAGCTGAGATGCTTTCACCCATGAGGTGTGATCAACAAATATAGTAAATGTTTAAATTTTTTAAAAATGTATTATAGTAAAAGGCACACTGCCATTAATTCCCCCCAAAATCTGGGCCAGGGATATAGCTCAGTGGTACAGTGCCTGCCTGGCAAGTGCAAGGTCCTGAGTTTGATTCCCAGCACCAAAAAAAAAAAAAAAAAAAATCCCCCCCAAAATCCTTCCCCTTGGTTCAAACACATATCCCAACAGTCTTGCCACTATCCGGAGCAATTCTGCAGACCTCTTAGTATATTTAGTTATCTGTTGTGGCTGCCTCAGTGTCCTGAACGGATTCAAACTGTTGACCTTTGCTGGTCACTTTGACTTTGGGGAAGAGCCAGGAGAGTTGCACAGCACCAGATCCAGTGAATAAGGTGAGTAAGGACACAGCGTGGTGTTTTTATGAACCTGCCTTTCCACTGAAAGGCACTCAGAGGCAGGGTCACCGTGTATCCCGATCACACCTGGTATTTACAGCTCCTCAGTCCTGAAACGGCTTGGGGAGGCTGCTTTGACAGCTGTCAACACTTCCTTTGGGGCCTCACTGAATGAGGTAACTGATCAGGAAGGGAAGGAGCACAGCTCACCGTGCTGATGTGACCCTTTATCCATGTAAGATGACAGCCCAGGCAGAGGCGGGGGACAGCCCCCTGCTCAGCCTGCACTGTCACTCAGACCTGGGTCCAAATGTTATCCTCTTATGAAATTATGAAATAAAATGCCAAGGTGTAAATGTCACTGCTGAAAAGGGGAAGGCCCTTACTAGAACGCTGCAGTTTATTAGGATGAGGTTATTTAAAGGGACCTGTTCCTTTGGTCACTGGTTCTGGTACAGCCAGCTCTCTGTGGGAACTATGTCTAGAAAGTTTATACAAAAGACTGAAAGGTGATTGGTGATCTAAGAACAAAATGAGATTGCTATGTGGGAAGTGACAGACATAGTAATGGCCCAGAGAAGATGGTGGTTGGAAGGCAGCTGACAGCACCCAGCAGGACCACTGAAATGAAAGGAATAAATAAATGAGATAATGCTTATGCTCTTGTGGTTTGTTAGATTCCCTTCTGTCCTCTCCCAAGCGGGGTGATGAACTCCTAGGCAGGAGCAAACATGCCAAGGCCCAGAGGCACCTGACACAATTGGGTTCTAGAGTAGCCACATCCTGGCCCAGGAAGATGCAAACCTGAAGATGGATGAGGCGTAGCCAAAGGAAAGAAACCAGACTGCCACGCTCCACGCAAGGCCTACCCTGGGCCCCACCTCTCACACTAACCTCAGGCGGATATTGAGAATGCACCTCAACCTGCGGTGATCGCCGAGGGAGGCAGGAGCCACACGCAACCCTGTGCACCGAGAGTGGCCTGTGGAGACACTGGCTCAGCACCAGGAGACAGATGCTGTCTTTGCACCCTGCATGTGACCCTGGTCCAGGGGAGCCTGCTCATTCCAGGGAACGTGTCTGCTACTGTATCGAATCAATCAAGCCTTCCAGCCCGTCCCTCATCCTTACAAGCCTTCTTGTGTATTTAAATCACACAACAGGAACTGAAGGGTGGCGTGAACCCATGTCATGTTCTCAGGGCGGGGGGCCTTTCCCACGCTCTGGCACCTGGTCTGAGGAGCACAGCCATGCTGAGATCCTCCTGCTGCCGACTGACTGGCCTCCCAGAGAGGACGGGACCCAGGCAGGGCCCAGCGCCCCCAGCGGGGTCAGCAGTTGGGAGCTCTGAACACTGGTTCCTGTGGGAGGGGACAGTGAAGTATGCCCCCCATCAACAAAGACGCTGAGAATCCTCATGGGGACTCCACTCTGACACCCATTTCCATGTGAGCTTCAGCTCTATGTGGCAGAGTCAAAAATAGCGTGCCACCCT